AGCATGTCAAAAAAAGATCTTAGAAAAAACCCCTGAAAAAAAAAAAAAAAAAAAGAGTGGCTCGTTGACTCCTTGCTTCATTCTTTCCAAAATCTTTCATCTATTCAGGTTTTCTATTTCTTTGAGTCAACTTTGGCAATTTACAGCTTCCTCAAAACTCATTTATTTATTTATTTTTTTCATTTTCAATTGCCAGAGACAAAAGACACAGAGAAACGTGGGTGAGAAGAAAGACAAGTGCCACCGAATGGGGAATGGTCATGCTGCAATCCCTTTTCTTCTATTTCTCTTTCCATCAGGATTTGGTCACACACATAATGCACTCTGAGTGTCTTTCAAGGGTCAGGGGGTGGAGAAGTGGTAATGAAACTATACACACACGGGAGGGTGGTAGGGTCACATTCAGGGACCTCCCTGAGCATGCTGGACATGAGTTGTGCTCATGATCTGGGGTGGCTGAAGCTGGGAGTGGATCACAGCATGGGTATCCTGTTAAGGCTGCCTATTTCTCTTTCTCCCTCTGTCTGTCTCTCTCTCATGGAAGAAATAAATTTAAAAATCTTTATTAACTCAATTATTATTTTAAAAAGATTTATTTTAATTATTATTATTATTATTATTATTTTAATTTGATCAGAGAGAAAGAAAAGTGAGAAAGCAAACCACCAGGTCCGGGACTAGGAATCCCGTCGGTCATGTGGGAGTACAGTGCCCCACCACCATGCCATCTCCTGGTCCCCAAAATAAGTTATTTATATTTAAAAATAAAAGCATGTACAGTCAGAAGTTTTCCTCTAGAGAGCTGGGACCATAGACAATCTCATTGTCCTTTATTTCTAGATAGTCTATCATTACACTTTGGTTTCCTCTTTGATCCAAGAAATACTTAAAGAGTTTTTGATTTCCATGTGATATATTTTCTTTACTTATCCTTTTATTTACTTCTAGATAATAGTCTGAGAAAGTAACCCTGAAAATTTTCTTTTTATATATGAATCCCATTAAAATTGTGTTACTTTGAAATTTTTATTACGTTTCTAGCCATTTTTACTTGAAATATTTTGATACCCCTATTAAACATGTCTGTGGTTATATTTTCATTCTGGATTACACAAGAGTGTTCTATAAGATACCTTCTTAATTTAATGATCTTTGCCTTAAAGTTTACTGACCTGAGATTGAAATCACTACCTTTGTTTTAGATTTGTTTGCGTTTGTCTAAAAATTTCATTTCTTTAAATGCCATGGCAGATTAATGAAAAGTTTCATCAGTATTTAAAAGCTTTGATCATAAAAATAACAATTGGCAAAAATCAAAGAAAGTTTACTTGGTGTTCTAACAGATTCAGGGAAAAAATTGCTAATGTAGATTCTTTTCTATTGTTTAGTAAACCATCAAGAGGTTCTACTTAAATCTATTCAAAATTTAGCCATTTAGAACGCACTCAAAATATTTAATAAAATTAGGTCAGGTTATCTTTTAGCATTTGCTAAAAGTCACCATTTAAAAAAATAATTTAAAGGCCAGAAGATGCCATGGAGGCTAACGAGGCTGATTCCCACATGGTAGAGCGTGTGGTTTAAGTCTCAGACCAGGTGACTTGAAAATCACACTGGGTGAGTGTGTATGCATGCCCACAATCTCAAGAAGAGACTGAAGGGGAAAGGACTGTGGCAAGGCCAATCCCCCTGGGGTGGGTGATTTCTCACTCTCCGCCATTTCTCTCTCTGGTAAGTGCACATGCCCTAGAGCAAAACTAAAAAACTAAAAATAAAAAATAAAAATAAATTTAGGAGCCAGCTAACAGCATGATGGTAATGCGGCTGGATCCCACATGGCCAACAACACGGTTTGAGTCCTAGACCCAGCAGCTGGAGAAACACACCGTGTGTGTGTGTGTGTGTGTGTGTGTGTGTGTGTGTGTCTTTCCCATCCCCAAAGGAAGGAAAGATGGAGAAGAGATAGTGGCTTGACCATTCCCCACAGAGGGTGCCTTCTAGCTTTCCCTCTCTTTCTCTTTCTCTCTCTCTGTGTCTCTGGCTAGCATATGTGCCTTCTTGCAAATTAAATAATAATAATAATAATTTGATGACTGTCCAAGAAAAGTATTTTTTTTTGGGGGGGCGGATTTTTGCTATAGAATGTGTGCGCACGCCAGAAAGAGACAGAGAGAAAGAAAGCGAGAAATCATCCCCTAGAGGGGATAATCATGCTGCAATCCCTTCTCCTCCATTCTCCTCTCAGGACCCTGGGCACAGATGCACACGCGCCCAGCATGAGTTTAAGCCACTGGGTCAGGGACTAGAACCATGGTTGACTACATGGGAGTCCAGCAACGTAGTCATTACGCCATTTGCTGGTCCCCCAAGGAAAGTATTTTAAGAACTCTCTTTTACTAGTGCTTATAAAACAGGTCACCTAGACATCAATCATACATAAAACTTATCCCTACTGAATAAATCACAACAAAATCAGATCGAAGAAACAAAAGTCTTATTGATTTTAGTCAGATATTAAATAAGCAAGCTATATAAAATGTTATATTTATAACTAATCACAGCAACAGATTAGAGACCAAAGGTAAACGCTAAGATTGTCACAAAGAGAAAAACAGAAAAAGTGAGACAAGAGAATTTATAGAGAAAAAGTTCTCCCCCCAGCACCCACACCCTACCATCTACTATCAGAGTACTCCCCAATGAAATAGAAATTGCCCTTTATGAGCAATTATAAACACAAATAGTTTAGATATTCCAAAGTCATCATACTCACGCATCATAATCTTGAATGACAAGTCCCACAGACCATATAGCAGTCAGATACTCATTAACACCATTGGGGCTGATGTAATGAAGGGAGTCCGGAGACCTTGGGTCGCCATTGGAGCCAGTGAAGTCCACTCCCACCTGCCAAATAACAACTGCAGCCCTTACTAAGAAGAAAGCAGGAACACCTGTGCTTGATGTTCAAGAAACTAAGCATGAACATTCATCTTGGAGCCTGCTATTGTAATTTCCTAACATATGCCTCCTGGTATTTCCAAAGACACTTAAACAGTTTAAGGCTCATGAAACAACCTGCTGTTCCTATTTTTCTAGATGTCTTAAATCCTGAATAATTACATCCACAACTTAGACAAGAGGTTGTTTTTGTTAAGTTTGTTTGACTAATGTTTTACAGTTCATAAATTACAACAGGAAAACCACTGGTTTGTACCGATTTGCTCTCTCTCAGGAGGAAAAAAATCTCATCAGCGTAGCTTCATGCTGATCCTACACAACCCGGCTGAAGTCTCCAAGGAGACCACACCAAACAGATTATGTACATTTTGTCACAAAGTCAGTTTTGCTGTATAAGAATTCTACGAATGGACAAAAAAATATGGGACAGTCTATACTGAAAAAGCCAGTTGTGTTACTTACAGTAAAATTCAGCTGACATCCTCCCATGATATAGTCAAGGAATGTGCATTCTACTGTAATCTAAAAACAAATCACAACCTGTTAAAACCCACTTCTCTATTAGAAAAAAATGTTTTGGCGTATGTTTTAATGAGTTTGTAAACTGACAATACATGACATAAGCATATGAAAATCACCCTTGAATTCTAGCTTAAGGCACTTCTGTCCCAACATGTCATGAATCTATAAGATTTGGCTTCAAGGTAATTATATCAATATGAACTTCAAGATTATTATATAAGTAGGGACAGCAGATGGCATAATGGTTACGTCACTGGACTCCCACATGACTGACTGCAGTTTGAGTGCCGGGCCCAGTGGCTTGAAACTCAACCCCAGGCATTGTATGTATGCATGTCCAAGATCCCAAAAGGAGAATAGAGAAGGGGTTGTGGTATGGCCATCTCCCCAGAGGTGATTTCTCTCTTTCTCTCTCATTATCTTTGTCTCTCTCTCTGACAAGCACACATGCCCTAAATCAGAAACCTCTAAAAAATTTAAAAAGAAAAAAAGATATTATATAAGTAATGTTAAGATTAGTATATTAATAACAAATTATGAAATATATTCACTTTAAGGTTATTTTTTTTTTTTTTGCAATAGGGCGCGTGCGCTCACCAGACAGAGACAGAGAGATAGAAAGCGAGAAATCACCCCCCAGGGGGGATGGCCATGCGGCAATCCCTTCTCCTCCATTTTCCTCTCGGGATCTTGGGCATGTAATTTCCTAACATATGCCTCCTGGTATTTCCAAAGACACTTAAACAGTTTAAGGCTCATGAAACAACCTGCTGTTCCTATTTTTCTAGATGTCTTAAATCCTGAATAATTACATCCACAACTTAGACAAGAGGTTGTTTTTGTTAAGTTTGTTTGACGAATGTTTTACAGTTCATAAATTACAACAGGAGCACCACTGCCCGGCGTGAGTTTAAGCCACCAGGTCCGGGACTTGAACCGTGGTCGGCTACGTGGGAGTCCAGCAACATAGCCATTACACTAACTGCTGGTCCCCACTTTAAGTTTTAAGAGATTAGCAACAAGTCTAATGTTGAGAGCTTTAATAAGCTTAGTAATCAAGTTGTTTTTTTCCTTTTAAGGTAGATAAAAACACTTGTTTGCTATAAGAAATCTTGACTTTTTCCCTTCACTCATAACATCCCAACTTGAAATTATGAGCAGGATAGATGCACTGGTCAGGTCATTTCCAATAAAGGCTGGGAAAATGCCTCATATTTCGTTTCTTTTCTTTTTTTGAGAGGATTTTGCTATAGGGCGGGTATGCTTGCCAGCAAGATAGCAAGAGACAGAGAGACAGAGAGTGAGAAATCACCCCCCAGGGGGGATGGCCATGCCACAATCCTTCTCCTCCATTCTCCTCTCGAGATCTTGGGCATGCACGCACACGCGCCCGGCGTGAGTTTAAACCACCAGGTCCGGGACTTGAACCACGGTCGACTACATGGGAGTCCAATGACATAGTCATTATGCCAACTTCTGGTCTCATCATATTTCTTAAGGTAATGAAAAGCATCAATAACCTTATCCTTTGCTAAAAAGCTATAACGCCTTGCAAACAAATTTACTCGAAAGATTTCTTTACTATCTCCTCTTCTGTTCTCTCCCTAAGAGTGACCAGATGCTCATTTGATTTTCAAATACCTAAAATTCAATTATTTGTTTTATATACACTAAATGGATTAAAAAAACTCAAATGTGATTTCATTATATTACAAATGACTGAAGCAAACTCACCTCACACTGTTTCACACTGATGACACCTGAATTCTTGTAGCTTTTCTTCTTTTGCCTCTTTTTTTCATTTATGCATTCAAATTCAATCTGTAGGAAAAGAAGACTAAATGTTCATTTTTATTAGCAACATTAGAAATGCCAATGTGAATTTAAATGAATCTTTTTTTCCCTTGGACTCAAACCACCTAACATAGGTTTGCTGCAAAATACGACGTGAAACAATTACATAACGCATTAAGTATGTGAAATATTTATCAGTTCAATTTTCAACAATTAAGATACGCCTAAAATTGTATACCTTTGTAATAGCTCCCCAAGGGTGTTTTTTTTTTTTTTTTTTTTGAGAGGTTTTTCACTATAGGGCACGTGCGCTCACCAGACAGACAGAGAGAAACAGAGAGACAGAAAGCGAGAAATCACCTCCCAGGGGGGATGGTCATGCCGCAATCCCTTCTCCTCCATTCTCCTCTCGGGATCTTGGGCACGCACGCACACGTGCCTGGCGTGAGTTTTAAGCCACCAGGTCCGGGACGCGAACCGCGGTGGACTACGTGGGAGTCCAGCGACACAGCCATTACGCTAACTGCTGGTTCCCAAAAGCTCACCAAGTTTAACTATTGCCTCAGTGGCAATTTCCTTGCAAGTACTCCAAGAAATAATTGCTTCTCTTTATAATAAGGAAAATAAAATATTACTACTAGCTGTTACCAACACAAAGGAAAAAATCATGCTATTTAGGAAAAGTCGAGAAAAACCTTACACTATAAAACAGAAGTATATGAAGCCCCACCTATGGCAATATATACAGCAGAGATCATCTCTTCCACTAAGAATATGTATGAGAAATAATGGGTTTTTGGCAAAGTCTTGATGTATTTTTGCATAGAAAAAGAGAAATATGTCAAGACTTTTCTGACAACCCAATAAATCTAATCTTTTACATCTTTATATTTCCTTCAGCCTCACAAAATAATCTTCCTTCCACTTCCTGCCACCCATCCATCTTTTTTTTTTTTTTTGAGAGGTTTTCGCTATAGGGCGCGTGTGCTCGCCAGACAGACAGAAAGAAACAGAGAGACAGAAAGCGAGAAATCACCCCCCAGGGGGGATGGTCACGCCGCAATCCCTTCTCCTCCATTCTCCTCTCGGGATCTTGGGCACACACGCACACACACCCAGCGTGTTTTAAGCCACCGGGTCCGGGATACGAACCGTGGTCGACTACGTGGGAGTCCAGTGACATAGCCATTACGCTAACTGCTGGTTCCTGCGACAGTTTAATTTTCTAAGAATCAAACAACAATATATTTGACACAAGGATGCAAAGGAAAACTACAGTTGGACAAATTTCTCAGTGGTTCTAGATCTTGCCAAGGTCTCAGTCATAATCATAAATATTCATTGTAAAATACTGGGGATTCATAAAGGACTTAATAGAAGTCTCATTGAAGAAAGACTGGATTCCTGCACTTAATTCATTCACACTTTTACAGACAGAGTCTCCTAAGTGGCAGGCATAGTGCTAGGTAGACTCTGAGAACAAAAGATACTACGATATGGCCCTGCCCTGGGTAAACCTAGTCATTGTGGCAACATTAAAAGCCTTATTTGTCACAGGGAACAGAAAGGATCAAGTTAGCTGGATTTAGGAAAGCTTTACAATCTATAAATGTTATACAAAATGGCATAATACTTTACATGACCCATAAAGTATTATATATTTGTTAGTTTATTATCTTCTAAAAGCAGGTCATTCACAAGAGTCTGGAAAAAAAAAATAACAAATCCAGACTACTTCTCCATAGTTAGTTCCTTTAGGTAGCCTGGTTTAAGTATTCAGATTTTCATTATTTGTCATTAGTTCTGCTGTTTTAAAATAAAATCTTTTTTTTTTTTTCATGAGAGATTTTTGCTGGGCACTTGTGCTCATTGGAGAGAGAGAGAGACAGACAAAGAGACAGAAAGGGAAAAATCACCCCCCGGGGGATAACCACGCCCAATCCCTTCTCTATTCTCCTCTCAGGATTTTAGGCATGTAAGCACATGCACCAGCATGAGTTTTAAGCCCTCGAGTCTGGGGCTTAAACGTGGGAGTCCAGCCACGTAACCATTACGCCATCTGCTGGTCCCTTAAAATAAATCTTTAACTAGAATATTTATAGCTAAATTTTCCTGTTGTTTAGGATAGGTTGTCGGAAAGTCATGACACGTTTTCCTATGGAATGTGCAATTTCTTTCCCAAAAAATTCCCTACAGCCCAATAGTTCAAAGACTATTAAAGCTACAATAATTTTAATCTTTATATTTAAGTCATTAAGTGTGATCTGAGAAATTCATCCCACTTCACACAAGCATTTCTATTCAAGCTACTTCTGAGATCTAGGTTTTGCGATAGAGAGCAAGAACAGGACTGGAGAGCTCCACGTGACCTACTTAAAATTCTAGTCCCATTATGTTTGTTTAAAAATCATTTCCCCCAGTGATTTAAACTAAATGGCTCATAAATTTTATTCAATCCTTTAAAGTTTTGATCTAAAACCAGCAGCGTCTTATTTTGGGTCACTCACTTTTGACTCGGTAAAACAGACCTCCTCTGCTGACCATAATCTTTTACCTTTTAAGCATTATATTTGTATTTTTCAAAGTATATATTCATAAATGAACATAGTTCTGGTCTCCAAGCAGCTAATAAACAATTCATTTCATTCTGTTACAAGTATGCTACACAGAGAACTAACAACTTAACTCAAATTAGGAAAGTAAATAAAACACTCTGGAATAGTTGTGGCCAATACTGACTTAGAATGAGAAAACTGACCACTTTTAGAAATACGTTGGGATGCTAAATAACAAACTGAATGTAATTAAAGCAGTCAAATGGCCATCACAAAATGAGTGCCAGTAGATAGTGGCCTAATATTATATAATTTGAAGTTCTATGAACTAAGTTTTTATCCATCCCTTGGGTTAGAACAAGTCAGAGAGAAAAACTGGAGGGTAGATTATAAGAGCGTACCCAAAAGTTGCATAAATGTACATGATTTGAGCCCAGGTGCTTTCCTGACATTGCAGATGTTAATTATTGTTACTAGTGAAATGTTAATTAAGGATCTGCAACCTAACAGCGTATGTACTTTTAAGCCAAAGCAAACCAAACCTCTAAATATAAATGTAAACTTATGTCTCATGTCTTTCAACACCCACTCAGTCACATAAGGACAGACTTGGGCCTGGAATACTTCCTTATGAAGAGGTAAAAGAGTTCTCATAGCCCATGCTGGGCTTATCATCTTGTGTGGGAATATCTTGCCAGTTTCAGGCTCAGTAAGAATGTGAGTCAATGGTTCTTGGGCATGCTCAAGCTTCCAGTATTTCAGACTTTACAGGGGAGAACTAGGGTCCATCTACTGCAGCATGAGAGGGGTGTGCATATTCCAATCAATTTCATGCACTGACTGCCAGAGGGACCTACTGGCCCTGGGGTTCCTAGGCCTACCACCGAAGCAGGCTGAGACTCCAAGTCATTGCTAAGTGAGTAAAGTGTTGCTCCATCTAGTGATTGAATCTCTGTTTGCCTTAGTGACTCCAATACCAAGATACAAGGGCAAAAGTATTTGTATTTCTATGCCTAGTGATGGACATTGTGATGATCTTTGCTATCTTCCATATAGTTGGGGTCCTTATCCAGCATTACTTTTATATGGTATTCTTCTCAACAAACTATAATCCAAGTATGAATTTTGGACTGTCTAATTACTAAACAAGTAAGACTCATAGATCTGAGAGCATTACATGATATACACTAAACCCATGGTCAACTACATGCTATGTATGGAGAAGTAAGTGAAATCGTAAATATAGAGCCAAACCACGAAGCGTATGCACATTCACAGATAAAACTTACAGGTGAGTTTCTGGAGGCATCTTTCAGTTTTGTCATAGTAGTTTGAAATGTTCCAATAAGATCATGTGACCCATCATTGTCATAATCATAACACTCTACCTGTAATTAAATATGATGAAAATAATTTAAAAATCAATACAATTTTATTAAAAGTATTGGTTGCAATAAACGTTACTTACCAAGAAGTAATCTTTTAATTAAAATGAGTGATAATGTTTAATATGCAGTCCCTACTTGGAGAAGTAGAAATTACCCTGAAGGAAGCAATACTGAAACACTTTCAAATTCCAGCTAACCTTGGAATGGGCTCTAAGGTAGATCGTAAGTGGTGGAAAAACACAAATGTTGTTTAAATTCCACATTAAGCAGATTCTAGCTCCTCTATCATGCCTTCAATAAGAGTTCATAAAGGACAAAATGGAATAACATCTTCGTTCTTATCTGCTTCTTTGCCTTATTATCACTATCCAATGGCTAAAAGTCATCTGGGGAAAGAAAGGAAGTCAATATCCCAAGCAGCTAAAAATTACATAATTGAATCTTAGGTAATTTAGAATTATGGAAAATATATTTCATTAGCTGCAATTTGGTGAGGCCAGGCTTATATTAGGAGCTAGATATGATGAAGTTAGATTTGCATCATTTTGAAGGTCCCAATGCTTACAAGGATAAGGAGAATTCCAGGGCAACAGTACTTAATCTACTGAGGAGGTATCTGTACTGGGTCATATTTACTCTATTTCCAGGTAAGACAGGGTGAGTTTTGATGTTAGATTGGGTATTATTAAATGATCTTTGTCTGAAAGGAGAGAGAAGAGAGGTGAGAGTATTTTATTTGCAAGTAATTTTTTACCAGGTTGACAGATATAGCCAAGAATATTCTTTGTGATGGGAAAAATCATGTGGCAGGAATGACTAGCTAGCAGAGGTGTTCAAGGGAAGCTTGAAAACTGACCACAATGACTGTGAACATCTAACACCAATGTTTTTATATGTTGTAATTTCAAAACAAATTATTTCATTTCTCTATTTATCATGTATATTGTGCACACTCTCTAAATAGCCTTGTGAAGTAAATAACAGTGGGAATCCCATTACTACTACTTCCATGTTGCAAAACTAAATTTTGAGGAATTAAATACAATACTGTCTTAGAAGACAATATGCTTTATGTGGTAACCAGCACGAGTTAAGAAAAACTATGCTACAGACACTATTCGATCCTTTTAAAGTTTATGCTTTAAAATAAAAGCTTGCAACTGAGAAAGCAATTTGTATTTACTCTCAGCAAATAAAGGGCTCTAGGCTGCTCTTATCCTTAACAAAGTTATATTAATCATCAAATAAAAATGCTCAGGATTTTATGTGTGCACTTGGCAAAGTAATAGGAAAACCTCTCAGCTTTAAGAATTAGGTGCTTATCAGAACTGGAAGTCTTTTATTCCTTACATGTACTCTCATTATTATTCAGGAAGACTAGAAACTAATCAATCAAAACAGGCAAGAGTTAGAATTATAATTTTGAGTAACAGTAAGAAATTTTGTTTAAAGAAATGCTTTATAAGCACTTTGGTCATTGACCAAGCCTGACAATTTGACTCTCTTGCCTTACACATTCAGTACTAAAATTTTAAGCCAAAAACCTTTTATATGACTCTTTAACTTGTCAAAAGAAAGGAAATTAATCATTTCAATATTTTTTCTAGCAGAAGTAGAAGATAAACTATGTTAATATTTTAATAAGTTCATGCTTCTTTAACAGAACTTTCCCAATTATAGAAAACAGATCTATACATTTTAGATTTCTATTCAGGGAACAAAAATTTATATTTAAGACAAGATTAAGCTTTGATAAACCTAGATTTTATTTAAACAAAACTTATAAATGGCTAAAACGGTTCATTTGTTTAGGCTGACTGAAACTTCAGGAACTGTAAAGAATATTTTTAAACTAAAAGTTCAGATTATTTACTATAATAAATATGTAGAAAAAAGCTTGCTCTGGGAGCAGCAGTTAGCATAATGGCTATGTCGCTGGACTCCCATGTAGTCAACTGCGGTTTGAGTCCTGGACCCAGCGGCTTAAACTCACTCTGGGCACGTGGGCGTGTGTGCCCAAGATCCTGAGAGGAGAATGGAGGGGAAGGGATTGCAGTGTGGCCATCCCCCCTGGGGGTTGATTTCTTGCTTTCTGTCTCTCTCTGTCTTCTGGTGAGCGCATGCACCCTATAGCAAAAACCTTTCCAAAAAAAAAAGGAAAAGCTTGCTCTGAATTATAATTTTGAGTAACAGTAAGAAATTTTGTTTAAAGAAATGCTTTATAAGCACTTTGGTCATTGACCAAGCCTGACAATTTGACTCTCTTGCCTTACACATTCAGTACTAAAATTTTAAGCCAAAAACCTTTTATATGACTCTTTAACTTGTCAAAAGAAAGGAAATTAATCATTTCAATATTTTTTCTAGCAGAAGTAGAAGATAAACTATGTTAATATTTTAATAAGTTCATGCTTCTTTAACAGAACTTTCCCAATTATAGAAAACAGATCTATACATTTTAGATTTCTATTCAGGGAACAAAAATTTATATTTAAGACAAGATTAAGCTTTGATAAACCTAGATTTTATTTAAACAAAACTTATAAATGGCTAAAACGGTTCATTTGTTTAGGCTGACTGAAACTTCAGGAACTGTAAAGAATATTTTTAAACTAAAAGTTCAGATTATTTACTATAATAAATATGTAGAAAAAAGCTTGCTCTGGGAGCAGCAGTTAGCATAATGGCTATGTCGCTGGACTCCCATGTAGTCAACTGCGGTTTGAGTCCTGGACCCAGCGGCTTAAACTCACTCTGGGCACGTGGGCGTGTGTGCCCAAGATCCTGAGAGGAGAATGGAGGGGAAGGGATTGCAGTGTGGCCATCCCCCCTGGGGGTTGATTTCTTGCTTTCTGTCTCTCTCTGTCTTCTGGTGAGCGCATGCACCCTATAAAAACCTTTCCAAAAAAAAAAAAAGGAAAAGCTTGCTCTTATCCCCTAAAAGGTAGATGTTGACATTTATAATGTTAGCATATATTTCAATAGAATTTGAGGTAAGATGATTCGTGTTATTGAATTTCTCTTTTTTGAGAATTCAAAAACCAGTGCTGTTTAAACAGTATGCATAACAATGCATGCACACATGGATATGTTGATGTATAAAGAAATTATGGATGCAAATACATCAATACATATGCAAATACATACATAAATTATGCACACACAATATGCACATGTCTATTGTGCGTATACATAAATATGTGAATAATAATAAATGTATGTATGCATATATACATATCTATATGTATATATGCAAAGGAATGCACACACCACACAATACCATCAACACATTCACTAAGGCATTTCCATCTTAGGCAAGGAGACAGCATGCATGATTACTTCTCTTATTCATTTGATCTTACAGAAATAATACATGCTAGAGTGGTTAACACATTGCAGCAAAAAAACTACTGAGGATTCTGATTCTATTTTCTACTCTCTATTATGCCTCTAAGCAATTTCCAAACAGTAAGAGAATCACAGATGTATGACTTTCTGATATTTTAAAGAAATACAGAACTAAAGATATAAAGTCAGTGATGATGTGGCAAACTAAGTTATGTAGAGTTACAAAAAAAGTCAGAAACTTTTAAGAATGGAAGACATTCATCAGAGAATGCTCAGAAAATCAGTTTACTTACTATAATAAAATACCCCTGTAAGCATGCCACTGTGAGCAAAAAAGTTTAGAAAACATTGTTTCGTTGTTATCATGTCATTACAAACAATCACATGGTTATGGCTTAGGCATTTCCCCCGCCCCCAGGTTTTTCTGCCTTCTCAGATCTAATGAGGTTTATCATTTTTAATGTGAAAAGCAAAAGTTCTAGATTTGGTAAAATAATAAAAGGTCATTTTCATAGCTACTTGTTTATTTATTTTGTAACCAGACTTTCGATGCTGCTTGAAATACCATACAAATCACATTTACAAAGATTTTTAGTTCTCTACAAACTGGGACAATTTTTGATAGATTTTAGAAAAGAAGCAGTTTTCAATAAAATGGCATCTTTATTTGTGTTTAATGGCTTAACAAATTTTAATTTTGGTTAATTTCACCTTCATTTTTTTGGTAAGGAAGAAATGATCTCCATGATATAAGTGAAGAAGTTAGGTGATTGGCCAAGATCCCTTAGCTAACTAAAGGGCTAAGTCAAAACTTAAATTGTGGTCTGATTCCAAATCCAATATGAAGGGACTCCAAAGAGTTCATGGAAAAATGAAATTGAAGTCTGAGTCTATTTCAGTGCAAAAAGTTTTGAAATCCATGAGTAACTTTTTTATATGTACTTTTCCACGAACTTTTTGAAGCCCCTCCCTTGTTCTACATTACCTTTTCTGTTTTCACCGTATTAATTTAAAAAACAGAAACGAACTACAATCTTAGTCTGCTGACCTCTAAACATAAACCTTCTATCTGCAATCATGTAAAGATAATGATTCTAGTGGGACCAGCAGATATGTAATAGTTACGTTGCTGGACACACTCATAGTCAACCATAGTTCAGGTCCTGGACCCAGAGGCTTAAAATTCACACGGGCCTGTGTGGGTGCATGCCCAGAAATCCCAAGAGGAACTGGAGGAGAAGGGACTACAGCAGGGCCATCCCCTCTGGGTGGTGATTTCTCACTTTCTGTTTCTCTATCTCTGTCTCAGGTGAGTGCACACGCTGTACCAGTAAAAATCTCTGTCTAAATAAAAAAAAAAAAAAAAGATAATGACTCTAGTACAAAAGTGTCCTAAATGTGTACATTTGTGTGTGTGTGTGTGTGTGTGTGTGTGTGTGTGTGTGTGTATTAAGGGGAGGGGAGGGGAGAGCCTATGAATAAAAACATTAAAACAAAAAGCACTGAGACAACTCTGCTATTGCCTGTTTCCACTCCTCTTCTTTGGCACTCTAAACTGAAGCCATGTAAAATCTTTCAATGAATTATATTTCTCTTTGAAAATAAAGAGAGAAATGATACCACTATTCTCCTCTCTTGTAAAGAGTAGGAGGAAGCTCTGAAATCTTAGGATAACATATGCTTTTATCTGCAAATACTACACCCAAGGCAAAGAATGCAGTTTAAGGTTCCTATTCACAGTACCTTTTTACTTGCCAAAAGACATATCTATTTTAGTATTATTACTTACACATAAAATTCAATTCAAATACATATGTGTTATATTATTTACTTTCTTTAAACACTATTTTCTGGATATGAATTAATTTCTGTACATGAATTAAACTATTACAAAATACATGAACGTGTGTATTCTGTGATTTTATATATAGTACATAAATACATAATACGTAAAGCAAAATGTCATATACACACACACATAATTTCAAATTACCTTAATGGTTTTATCCATATCTCCATAGCACAGAGAGTTAAGAGAGATTTTAAAAGGCCTCCAGACAGGATTCAAGTTGTTTTTAATAACCTATGAAAATGAAGGTTCAGAGACTTGTTAGAAAAAAATCTACTTCATTAATGTTTTTCTCCTGTCTTCTTAGATTCTTGCTGCAGTCTCACTACTCATCCTTCATTTCTTTACCCACTCCACTGCTGCAGTGAAAAACTACCCAGGACAATGTTATAGAACTGCTACATAAAAAATGTAATAGACCGTCCAGTTGTAGTGCCATCTGAGAAAAGAAGAAAACCATTTGGGAAATATAACCTCCTATCAGCAGGGCCATCCCCTCTGGGTGGTGATTTCTCACTTTCTGTTTCTCTATCTCTGTCTCAGGTGAGTGCACACGCTGTACCAGTAAAAATCTCTGTCTAAATAAAAAAAAAAAAAAAAGATAATGACTCTAGTACAAAAGTGTCCTAAATGTGTACATTTGTGTGTGTGTGTTTGTGTGTGTGTGTGTGTGTGTGTGTGTATTAAGGGGAGGGGAGGGGAGAGCCTATGAATAAAAACATTAAAACAAAAAGCACTGAGACAACTCTGCTATTGCCTGTTTCCACTCCTCTTCTTTGGCACTCTAAACTGAAGCCATGTAAAATCTTTCAATGAATTATATTTCTCTTTGAAAATAAAGAGAGAAATGATACCACTATTCTCCTCTCTTGTAAAGAGTAGGAGGAAGCTCTGAAATCTTAGGATAACATATGCTTTTATCTGCAAATACTACACCCAAGGCAAAGAATGCAGTTTAAGGTTCCTATTCACAGTACCTTTTTACTTGCCAAAAGACATATCTATTTTAGTATTATTACTTACACATAAAATTCAATTCAAATACATATGTGTTATATTATTTACTTTCTTTAAACACTATTTTCTGGATATGAATTAATTTCTGTACATGAATTAAACTATTACAAAATACATGAACGTGTGTATTCTGTGATTTTATATATAGTACATAAATACATAATACGTAAAGCAAAATGTCATATACACACACACATAATTTCAAATTACCTTAATGGTTTTATCCATATCTCCATAGCACAGAGAGTTAAGAGAGATTTTAAAAGGCCTCCAGACAGGATTCAAGTTGTTTTTAATAACCTATGAAAATGAAGGTTCAGAGACTTGTTAGAAAAAAATCTACTTCATTAATGTTTTTCTCCTGTCTTCTTAGATTCTTGCTGCAGTCTCACTACTCATCCTTCATTTCTTTACCCACTCCACTGCTGCAGTGAAAAACTACCCAGGACAATGTTATAGAACTGCTACATAAAAAATGTAATAGACCGTCCAGTTGTAGTGCCATCTGAGAAAAGAAGAAAACCATTTGGGAAATATAACCTCCTATCACAAGGTATACTTAGATATTCCTGATCATTGACTTTGTTGGAAAACAGGTTACATTGCAATGTACTATTTAAAAATGGAATAAGAAGGACTGGCCCATGGCTTGGTGGTTAGGGGACCTGGATCCAACATGGCTGACTATGCAATTCGAATTTCAGTCCCAGTGGCTTGAAAAACACACCAGATGTGTGTGTGCATGTCCAGAATCCCAAAAGGATGGAGAAATGGAAGAGAAGGGATTGTGGCATGACCATGCCCCACTGTGGGGTGCTTTCTCCTTCTCTCTCTCTCTGTCTTTCTCTCTCTTTGATGAATACATGTACCATCTGACAAATTTTTTAAAAAATATGGAATAAGAAAAAATGAGTAAAAACCTTGCTGTACTGGATCTGAATTAGAGAAATAAGTCTAAATTCATGCTTTAAAATGTAAATACTATATATAATACAGAGATTAAATATGAAATAAACAGGTACATGCATTGAATCACAGTGGATCCATCAAAAGGGTCTAAAAAGCAATGATATTCCAATCATAATGCGCACATCTAGCATTCAGATCTTAATGTCTAAATACTACTGTCTTCTCAAAGAAATGGCTCATTACAGCTCTAGGACAGGGAAAGTAAAAGATGAACCAAGAACATACTCTAACATAAAATAAGAGAATATTTAAAGACTAATAGAGCCATGTTAAAAGAACCCAGAAGCATTTGAAGGCACTCTCCCCTGCTCAAATCTGGATAATTTCAGAAGCAAAAATGACAATAATGAGCAATAACACAATGCATATAGTGCACTATTACAACCTATGAGTTTACCATGATATTAATCAAGTAAAAAGAAAGTGAATGAGAAGAAATAGAAGAGGAATGCCTGGGAGGTCAGCAGGTGGCATGGTGGTTAAGGGCACTGGACTCCCACATGGTCAACTGCAGTTTGAATGCTGGATTTGGCGATTTGCTTTCTCACTTTTCCTCTCTCTCTTGCTCGCTCTGTCCCTTTCTGATCAAACTAAAAATAAGTCAATAAATTTAAAGAGTTAAATAAAATAATTCTTAAAAAAAAAAAAAGAGGAATGTCTACCAGTAGAAGTTAAAGGGGTGGGGGCCAGCATGGCTGACCGCTGTTCATGAGTCCTGATGGCTTGCTTTATCTCTCTCTCTCTCTCTCTCCCTCTTTCACTCTGTCCCTCTCTGGTCAAATCAAAAATAAATAAAGCAAAATAAGATAATTTTTTAAAAAGTTAAAGGGATAAACAATTTAGGAGAAAAAAATCATTCTTTCATAATCTCTGATACAATACTTTATTCTGATAAGGATCATTAACAGATGTCGAAAACACTGGGTGAAAATGCTGGAGAAGTAAGAAATCCATGCAATGTTCAAGTATCAAACCACATATTGCTGATTAATTATAAAGAAGAACAAAATGGGACTTTAGGGCCAGCCAGGTGCCAAGGTATGGTGGCTGAACCCTACATGGCCAACTTCATGGTTCAGCTTCCATCAGACCTGGATGCTTGAAATACATGCCAGGTGTGTGTACATGCATGCCCAAAATCCCGAGAGGAGAATGGAGGAGAAGGGATTGTTACATGGTCACCCCCCCCCCATGTCACAGGGGACTTTATCATGGTAGGGGACTTTATCCTGGCAAGATGCAGTGGTCATCAGTTTAAACAAGTAGACAAACACAGCTTTATCAATATTGTATAATCTGACATTATGAGTCCCCTGACAATGCAGAGGAAGGTACACATGCAGTTGTCTTGACAGAAATGTTCTATCTGGATACAGTTGTAAGGAAACAAAAGAATACAATATTGGACATTTTGGTCTTGGTTATTCAAGAGGTTCAATAGTCTGAAGGTATAAGGTATACAAGGAGAGCAGCACTATATTGGAAATACATAGCCAAATGCAAAGATGAGCCTTGACTGGATCTTAGACAAAACAAAACAAAATACGTACACTACATGTACAGGATAACTAAGGAAACCTGAAAATAAATGATATGTTGAATGATTTACTAAATCAGTGTTTCTCAGGTGTGGTTGTGGAAAATGCCCTTGATCTTGAGAAATGCCTATTGTACATTTAAGGTGAAGAGTCACAATGTCTATAGCTCACATTAGAACAGTTGTGCTAAAGAGAAGTTTTGCTAAAGAGAAATGTAAGTGCATGTGTGTGTGTGTATGTAAAAGAGAGGGTCAGAGATAGAGAAGGAACACAAGTATAAGAGGTATGATCAGTTGGTCAATCTAGGGGAGTAGTACAGGAATTCATTTAATGTTCCTATAGTTTTAAATTAAAATAATAATAATAGCAATTAAGCACAGCAGTATTTCTCATTCAAATAAAAAGTAAAAAGGGCCCTGTTTTAAAAAATGTAAGCATGTTCACCTTGTATCTCTGCTGTACATAAATTGGACTCAGATTTCTATTTCTATAAATACATATTTTTTTTAAAATTCAGATTACTAAAATTTCAAAGGAAATCTCCCCCATACTTTAGAGGTTCAATATTTACCTCTGTTCGATGAACCATCAGCCAGCTTCCATCAGATGTCTGCTTATGGAATTCTAGGTATGGGTCTGACTTTCCAAAAAGATCCTACATTTAAAACAAAAAAAAAAAACCAAAAGCATTTATTTTCCTCTGAAACCATGTGTGACCACACTTTAGACATGTTAGAAACCACCTGAAGTCTATCCGCGTAGTACAGACTGACTGGGCATTAAATACAAATCTCATCACCTTTTTCACTAATTTATAAGCTTGCTAACATCCGTTAGGGAAAACTATTAAGCATTTGTGGTGGTGCTCACCATCCTGTGTATCATATTCTTACTCACCAAAAAACATGAGAATGAAAATACAGTGATCACATGGAGCACAAATATATTTTTGGCTTGTTTTCACCACTGAACAGTTTTCACTTAAATAACTCTGAGTAGTTTATTAATGATATCACAGGCCGACCCGATGGTGCAAAGATTAAGCTCAGTGCTTAGGGAGCTTGATCTCACATGCTCACATGGCTGACTGCCATCAAATCGCAGCCCTGGTAGGTTGAAAAGCACACCTGGCACATGTGCGTGCATGCCTCAAATTCTGATAGAATGCAGATATGAAGGGAAAAGCAAAGCATGACCATGCCTTATTGGTAAGTTGTCTCTCTTTCTTTTTTACTCTTGTTCTTTCTGGCAAGTATAGATGTCTTCTGGCATTAAAAATAAATAAAAAGATATCCCAAGCATTAACCATGCCACATCTATTAGGGACAGGGCATCAATGAGCAAATGAACTCAGAGAGTTAAATGGCTTTCCCAAGATCACATATTTAAATTGGTGGGTTTGGGCCAATAACTCACATGACTTTACCTACGTAAGAGTGTAGAGATAGATATAAGAGGAATACTTGGGGGCAAAAGTGTATCTCCTATTTCCTCTGTGATTCACCATATCACTCTCTCACAAATTTTTTTAAAAAAGCCTCAAAGCAGTCAAGAAAAGCTAACCTGGGAAGAAGTACTTAAAAATTAATAAAGCATTGGTTTATTGCTTCTTTATTAAAGGTAAACCAACTGCATTCTGTTGTGGCTTTTTAAAAAAAAATCCCAGAGGGACCCTATGCTTTCTAGAGAGAGACAAAGATATACATAGAGAGGGAACACGAGAAAGCACCACTCCCTCATGGAGAATGGCCACACTGCAGTCCTTTCTCCTCCATCTCTCCCTTTTTTTGTGATTATAGACACATAGACACACATGCCTGGTGTGTTTCTCAAGCTGCCAGTTCAGGACTCTAACTGCATAGTTGGCCATATAGGATCCATCCACCTTAACCATCAGTCCATGGGTTGGCCCCTCTGCCAAGCATTTTAAAATAACATTACTGCTTTACTTAACTCCTCTTTTAGCTTAGAAAAATCCTTTGAATACAAGTAGATAAAAGAGGTTAAGGGAAATGGTTGCTGCTTAAATATGTTCATGTATGCATGTGCACACACAGAAATGCAGAATTTGGAAATAACTGATGCCCTATGTGATGTTCAGATGAAGTAGTTCACAATAGTAAATACATTATTTTCCCAAGAAGGAATCAATATGAGGCAAAACATGACATTCTTGTTGAAATTTGTGTAATCTACCCACCTTATTATCCAGTTTTCTGGCTTCCATCTCAAATAAGACAACTCTATTATCCTTAATTTCTTCAGCTGAAATCTATGAATAAATAAGACAAGTAAAAGAAATTATAATGAAGTAGGGTTGATATATCCTGTTATCTAATAGTGTATAAAGTCTAAGTAATACAAATAAATTCTAAACTGTTTAATAAGAAAATGGTATTATTAAGAAAGATTTACCAACTATTAATACGTGTGAAATAAATATTTTCTTAAAATATGCTGAGTCCATGTTATACAACTTCCTTTTTAAATAGGATTGCCCAAACTAGATCTTCCCTATTCTGGAGAAAAGTCAAAGTTCTGGTAGACTGAAGGATACCCTCTGCACAAAACTAGCAAAGCCAAACACTCAGAACCATAAGCAAATCACCCCTAGAGATCTTTATAGATAGAAATATCAAGTCAACGTTTTCCATCCAATGAAATTGAAAGATTTATTCTACTTAAAAATAAAATCCAAGCTATTATGACCCAAGAGCAATAAAACTATCCATGATATCACCCCCAGTCATGTGAACAATCTTAGACCTCAGGAATCCTTAACTAGAGTAAAAGTGCCACTCAGAAAAATGCATTTGATAACCCCAATAATCCTCAAACATGGCTCTCTCAAGGAGCCAGCCTTCCATTCTCAGAGAGATCTAAAGTTAGAAAACTATCACTTATCACTATAGGAAGCGGTTACCTAGGTGGATACTCTTGAAGGTACCACATCTAAAAGCTTCGCATTATGTAACTTCAAACCTCAAATATGATAAAGCATATATATTGATTTGCCCAGGGCCAGTAATCAGCAATGGAAAATCTGCATGGGAAGATGGGCAGGAAAATGCATGCATAAAAAATGATGATAGATTCTAAAGACCACGTCATAATATAACATCCAGTGAGATAAAATCCATTATGGAAGCTTCCATCGCATAGAAAGGACAATGTTTCCTTTGTGCAGAGTCAAATTGATCTATCCAGATTATCCAGTAGTTTCTTTCTAACTTGGCAATTGACATTTCCATGCAGGAGGGGCCAGTGTCACCAAGGTGCACCTGATCTCTACGGGCAAATTAAAAAACTGAAAGAAGGGATTTCCACACTGTATTTTTCTCCTTTGTCAGCACAATACATTTCCCACTTGTGTTTGCCAAAAGGCAAGGGTGGATGGAATGTAACATTCAGGATCTAATGACAAAGCTAGGCAGTAGAACATTTGTCTGACATGTACAGCTTCAGCAAGTCCTATTACTGCTAAATCTTTTGAGGCAAAAGACAAATATCTTATATTTACCGTAATGCTCCCATTCCCCGCAGGTCTGCCATTTTTAAGCACCAGCGGTCGAGTTAGCTTCTTACTGGAAACAATCTGTTAAAATCAGAAGTGATAATGAAAAGCTATCATGCACTTCGACAGGTGGATTTTTAAACTGAATAGTTAAAAAAAAAAAAGACTGAGCACAAAGGTCACTTAATGTCATTAGAAATAGAATCTTTAAGTCTTTTCATTAAAGATTTAGAGATTACAAAGATTTAAAATGCATCTACATGTTTAAAATTCACTGGAAAAGATTTCCAAGGAGTTTATTCCAGCAGATACAATCTCCCTATTCACTAATTTCTTTACCAACTACTTCCAAGTTTAATTTCTTCTTTGTATTGGAAAAAAGAAAGCCAGATTCTCATCATATACACAAATACTGAGCTGATCCCTTCTAGGTAAAAGGTGGGCCTCAGAACATCGAATAAATGGGATTCAACTTTTCAACCAATACTAAACTTCAGTATTTAAGCACCACAAAATATCATATTGTATAATATAATATAGTGTGTCTAGACACTTCTGAACAGATATGTTCCTGATATCTCTTTCAAATTCATAAAATTTTTAACGACACTGTGATTTTATTCCCAAACGTTAAACGCCTTGATTTTCTCTTTGATCCTATTGAACAAAGTTTTAGGAAAGTGATCAGTTTCATTTTGTCTTTGAAACATAGGAAATACCAAGATCTCCAAACAACTAGCCCTGAAAAATAAACCCGTAAGAGACAAATTTTGGTGATAAATGTCTTTGAAAAGAAATAATCCCTCCCTCCTGAAGCCTTCCTCAATTTATATAAATGGTCATGATCTGTCCTTCTAAATCAGACTGAGCTAGAAGAAAAATGGTGAGCCTCCAACTATGCCCCTACCCTGACCAAGCTGGATGTACTGAGAAGACAGACAATTAAACAGCTCTAATGAAATATAGTAAAAAGTAGTAGAGAGTACCAACCTAGCTCAGGGAAGGGCTCCAAACTAGTCCAGGGGGGTCAGAGAAGGTTTACAGATGAAGGAAAGTTTAAAGTGGTAAACTAAGACTGAGGAAGAGCAAGCCAGCTAGAGGATCATATTGAACATATAGAGTCGAGAGGCACCAGTCGTGCTAATTAGAACATTAAAGAAGTTGCTGTTACTCTGATAGTTTTTATGACTTGAACACAACAAAACTGTACAGAACTCTGCAACAGCTAGAATAACTGTATTATTTGTTAAAATGTCAATGATTCACCCCTAACTCAAAAGAATTAATTAATAAGCTTTGCCAGAAACATGTGCCCCCTCATGGCCATCACAAAAAAAACAAGATAAATTTGATAATGTTTAAGCCAACCTTACAAAGATAAGAGCTCAGTCTTTAAAGGAATGACTTGTTTTTCAGCTTTAAAAATAAACTAATGAAGACTTATCCAAAAGATATCATTCCTGGGTTACAGTTGAGACACAGCAGAGTACAGCGGCTATTTATACTCACTTGTCCCAGAGTACATTCACATTCGCCTAAGAAGTCATCATCACTCAGCTCAATGGTTTTGTTGTCAATGTCATAAATTCCAAATTTCAATTTCTGAACCACTTCGAAGTAGTAATCAATAATAAACGTCTTGGAAAATTTGGGATTCAAGCAATTCTTAATCTTTTCTGTGCGTTCAACCTACAACCACCCCCCCAAAGCAAAAGTAGTTTCTTTAGATCAAAGGTACACTTGGATTTTAACAGCTTTAGGTATCAAACATAATTAAATACAAGCATAAATGAAAGGAAGTTTCTGTATGTGTATGAAAATCTCCACAATCAACGACAAACTTGCCCCCCAAAATTCACTCACAAATGAGCTTATTATGGTATTATTTTTAACAAAATTTTCACAAGACTAGAAGAACAATTTAGACTATTTTCCATGTAAAGAATTTAATTTTACCTCATACCACTGTTGACCACTCGTATTCAAAAATAACACACACAAGGGGTCTGACTTTGACCCTACGTCGGTATCCATAAGGTTGTTACAGGAAATATTCAGCTCCACCTTCGTGACACACTGGGCAGCCATCTCTCAAGCTATGAATAAACAATGGAAGGAGAAAGCAAGTGAAAAGGTGCCTCACTCATTCCTAATGGAAATAGCTGAATTCTAAAGACAAATGACCAGAATAGACTCACAGAGTGAACTTGCTAGAAAAAAACTATTTTACATGTGCCACCTGTGGATTTCAGTGTCTATTACAATAGCTCATTCCAGCAATATCACTTCAGTCAGATTCTCTGGTTGAGCATCCTTTAAGGCGCTGGTCCCTCCTGGTCTCTATCTACATTTACCTCGTCTTTGTCCTTACCCCTTCCAAGGCCTCAGGCGAACACTTGGCACACAGAACACCCACTCTGCTATCCTTCACCCCCGTCTCTCTGTACAACACCTTCTCCCTTTTTCACAGCCCTTGTATTCAGCCCTGAAGATCTTCCCCTTGATGTACCCTTCCCTGTTCACTGCAGGGTACCACAGACTCGACTCAGACTGTTGGAATTCTCATCTGGATTCCACCCCTTAATGTATGGCTTTAGGCAAGATCCTTTACTTCTGTTTCCTCTGGGTTTCCTCATCTATAAAAGAAATATTCCCTTGCTCATAAGGTGTTGTAAGAACTGAATTAAAAAAAAAAAAAAGGAACTGAATCAGATAATATATAACAGTGCCTAGTACATGGTAAGTGTTTATTATTATTATTATCATTATTATTATTTTAGCACCACCTGGCTCCAGGGTCTAATACCCTCCTATCTATCATGTGCTTTATACTTATTAGTCCATTCTATGATGATTTCTCTGATTACTCTAATCCACATCTAGTCACTCCTTTGAATTCCATCTGCACTAATAGTAATGAAATGCTAAAATATAGGAATAGGATCGGATCTGAAGTAATACACAGCTGGGCTGAATCTCACATCTGATGTTACCTATGTGACCATATAAATTCCCTCAACTCTCAGAGCATAGATTTCCTTATCAGAAAAAAATAGAGATAATGCACGTGACCTTGTAAATCTTGCATGTGCCCGGCACCTTACTTTTCAATCTACGGACTAAATGTCTTATTTTTTGTTTGTTTGTCTGTATGCTTATGAAGCATGCTCACAGTGAGATAAGGGTTTTTGTCCGACGCTCAGGAAGAATTAAAGTTCAGAAAACAAAGTACAGCAAAGTGGGGAGTTACTAGCAAGGCTGGGAATTTATTAACAAAGTGGGATGTTTATTAAAAGAGAGGGAAGGAAAAACAGAGCTCCCAAGAAGGGAGGTAAATAAATGGGCTGGAAGGAAGAATGTGGTGAGGGGTTTTTATTTGGGTCAGGAAGATTTGTGCGGGCTTGTTCTTGGTGGGGCTTGTGCATGCATTCCCCTCCTGGTAGGAAGCTGCGCATGCTGGGTAGGTCTAATTGTTTTCCTAATTTTGGAGTGGGTACCCAGGTCAGAGATCTTTGTCTTGAAGCTTTGGGTCATGAAAACCATTATCTTATCTTCTTCCTGGAATGTGGTGAGGCATGGAAAAAGCCTGTTTAAGGTCTAGGTCATGCTGCCTAGGTCAAATCACTGAGTCACGACTGCTTCCATCTGAGAATTTAGCCATTTTGTGATTTTATTTTAGGCCCTTACCCTAATTATGTCTTTAAGGTCCTGTCTCCTACCTCACTTAGACTCACGTCAGCAGTACCCAGCACAACACGGTACCCTCTGACTGAATTCAGAATCAATAGGAATTGCTAAAGCTCCTGAAGAACAACATATAGCGAATTCTCTACCAGCAGTCAGAAAGTTCAAATTTCCAAGCATGGAGGAATTCAAGAGAGAATGCAGGTATATCTATGTGCAAAGTCAGTCTCACAGCAGAGACACACCATGTCAGAAGAGCATTATTTTTCCCTAAAAGTGCTCATACAAGAGCTACAAAAACAATATGCCAGGCTCCGCTGATTATGTGGCAAATTGCTGACGGGTACATTACTGCACTGCACCCGGAGCAAAGCTCCTGCATTAGCAGCATTCCCCCGACAATGACTTTTCTGCAGCCTCGCTTCTACCTAGAAACCCATTTTGGCTGAACGGCACATGGAAGAAATTACATAAACACTCGGGTCTGGAACCTTGTTAACAGCAATATTCATAAAGATGCTCTTTATGTTTCCTTTTTATGTAATTATCTAGTACATGATATCAATTTTGAAAAGAGGAATAGGATATCCTATCCACAAATAAGTAATAAAGCAAATCTTTTGTACCCTTTGAGTGTAAGAAACAGATTTTGCTAGTTACTCCCCAAAGAACAGAATGCTAGAAAAGACAGTAATAGCCTCTGGGATTAAAAAACAGTATACCCATATACACACTACTTACTGGAAAACAATCTGCTTAAACTCCTCCTCTGAGATGGAAAAAAAAAAAAAGAAAAAAGAAAGAAAAGAAAAAGACTTAGAAATAATAAACATAAAAACATATTAACTACTCTGCTAGTCACCAATGTTTCTGAATCAACATTATAGCAGAGATCATTCAAAGGGATTAAAAATTGGGCTGGCCCCATGGCACAGCAGTTAAGGAAGCCAGTTCCACATAAATCGACTAGGGTTCAGGTCCCAGCCTGGAGGCTTGAGGGACGCGCCTGGCACATGTGTATGCATGCCTGGGATTATGACAGGACAGAGAGATGGAGGAGGGGGATTATAGTGGGACTGTATTCTACTGGAGCATGCTTTCTGTCTCTCGCTCTCTGGCAAGCACACTCACCCTCTGGGAAGGAAAAACAAAACAAAAACAAAAACAAAAAGAGATGGAAAATTAAGACCTAATATTTGAAGTGGGGCCTGGTCCCTTATACCCGCTCTTAAGATTTATTCAATAAAGTTGTCGTGGAGATTCTGCCTACTAGACTCCTAACCTCTCTCAAACATGAAAGTATAGAACCTTTCCCATACCCACAGTAACAACTCTACTTCAGGTCTTCTGTATCTCTCCCTACCTACTAAAATACTCTCTAAATTGTGACTGTATCTTCTGCCCATTTATATCATGATTTATCACTTCGGATTTACTGGTGGCTCAAAGCCTGTCATAGTCCAGTGAGCTAAACCTGAATTCATGGCGTGGTCTGCATCTGCTCCCAGCTACATGAGCAGCTTACTCTGCCCATCTCAGTTCAAGATACTCCCCTAGGCTCAGCCTCACTGTTCAAGGGAGCAGGATTCCACATGGGCCAGCCACTCTGATAAAAATTCTGGCTCCTTGGAGGCATCCTAGGTGCATATGCATTCATGCCCCAAATCCTGACAAGATAGAAAAACAGAACATGCCAACTGTGGTGTGACCATCCCCATGAGGGTTGCCCAGACCTTCTGTCTCTCTGTCTCTCTCTGGTGAGCACACCATACCATCTGGTAATTAAAAATGAACAAACAAAAAAAAGATGTTCCCCTGATGCAGTTATGGTACTGGTCATATTTCTTTCCATTATTGTTCCTTGTATGCATGGCTCATCACCTTTTCTCTATCTGTGGGCTGAGAGCAAGGACCATTTTTACTGCTTCCTCTTCATCCTGAAGCATGGTGTTTAACACAGGTTATTCACAGCAGAAAAGGCAAAAACTCTGGGATTGGCACATAGCCTAGTCGTTAAAGGGGCCAGAGCGCTGACCATGATTCAAAACGCAGCCCAAGTAGCTTGAAAAACACGTCAGGCACATTTGCACGCATGTCCAAAATCCTGACAGGATAGAGAAGGGATTGCAGCAT